TGTTAGTACGGAAAAGTTGATAAATCTGTGAAATGACACACCTCCTGTTAAAAAAACTTCCCTAATATCAGCACAAATTGACAGGAAAGATAAAACTCATCTTGAAGGACACGAAAGCAATATCATCATCATCATCAACGCCAACATAGCATAAGGCATTACGGCGTAACGGTCCGAGTTGCCACAGCCCATATCAGTACATCAAGTAGAAAGGTAGTGAGGTGAAGGATGAAGATAAGAAAATTCAGTCAAAAGAAATATAAAGTAAGAGAAGAAAGAAAAAAAGAATGACGAAATGATGAGAATCGATATAGTTTTAAGATGAGGATAGTATATGTATACATCTGCGCCACTGACATCGGCTCTCAGCCATGTGATCACCTAGAGTCTCCAGCCACTGGTTCCTCTTGTCCTGCGGACCCCAACCACTTAGTCTGCATCGTGCCACATGGCTCAAACCAACAGTCAAAGACTTCATACATTGGTGCCATGTTTTGGTGTGGCCACCTCGGACCTTTTTCTAGCCTGGGCCTACTTCGGCCAACATTGTGTGACGAGGCAATCGGTGACTAGGCATACGTAGTACGTGTCCCAACCATCTCAACCGATGAAGGTTCATAACCTCGTCACAACTGATTTACCCCTACTGCCTAAAACTCTACTCCTGACTTCTGCATTACTCACGTGGTGATACCACGGAATACGGCCTATACTACGAAGGCAACGGTGATCAAACACTTGAAGCCTTCTCATATCTTCCACTTTCGATGGCCATGTTTCACAGCCATACAGTAGAACAGAGCGGACTGCTATGCAGTACACGCGACCCCTAATAGACGAACGGAAATCACAGTGGTGCCATTTATTATTATTTGTCCTTTGGGTTCCTAATGGGACATAGGGCTTCAGTAGCACGTCTCCAGTGCACTCTGTTCTCTGCAAACTTTTGAACCTGGTTCCACGACAGCCCACAAGCTCTCGTTTCTTCCTCACACGATCTCCGCCATGTCACCCTCGGACACCCAACTCGTCGTTTCCCATCTGGGTTCCACTCGAGGGCCTGGCGCGTGATATCCCTGAATGGTCTTCTCAGTGCATGCCCAATCCATCTCCATTTCCTTCTGCATATTTGTTGAGCGATACGTTCTTGGTTGGTTCGTTGCCAGAAACGGCGGCGCAATAGGTGGCATAAATTGGCAAAAGCCAATCGAGCCTTTTGTATCCATGCAGATTTCATCGGCAACTGACCCAAAGGGGTTGATCCTACTTCCCAGGTAAGTGAAGTGGTCGGCACACTCAACCACTTCACTCTCTATTGTTAGCCGTGGTGGGGCACCGTTGAAGACCAATCGTGGAGCAACAATTTGCATTTGAGTGGTGAGAACCGCATCCCAAACATTGTCAAATTGCCACTCAAAGTGTTCAGAAGACTCTGCATCTTGTCAACGTCTTCACCTAGCAGGACAGTATCATCTGGATATTCTAAGACTAACGAAAATTCTCCTACGATTAGGTCAACCTGTGTTGTAGTCAGGTGACGGGAGGGAGACCTCTATAAGAATATCTATGATGAAATTGAATAAGAATGAAGAGAGTGGGCATCCTTGACGGATACCATTCGATGAGCATAGCTCCCTGGACATCTCACCGTAGGCTCTAACATGCCCACAAGTGTTCGAGTAGAGAGCGTTCAGTAAGGTGATGTACTTGCTAGGCACGCCTCTCTGTGAGAGACATTGCCATCAGACTTCTCGATCAATGGAGTCGAATGTCGAGAAATATAGCTATTGTCGGGCGTCGGTAAGCGTGCCTATGTTCCAGAACCTGGCGGAGTGTGAATATTTGGTCGATATGCCCGCGGCCGGGTCTAAATCCTGCCTGGTTTTCTCTGGCTTGCTGTTTCCGACCTCCACTTAGGCGTCGGAGAATTATAGAACCTAGGGTTTTAGACACTATGCTCGTCAGGCTGATTCCTCTGTGGTTATCACTAGAGGACTTCTCGCCTTTGTTGAGGACTGGAATAATCAGTGGTTTAGACCAGTGAGAGGGATCGTATTTGATTCTCACATACTGGTTAACACCTCCGTTAGTCTGACCAGAAGCACTCCACCACCATCCTAGTATACCTCAGCAGGTAGTCCGCCTGGTCCTGTCGACCCTCCTCGTTTCAGGTTACCTACCGCCTTCTCAACTTCTAGTGTTGAGGGACCTATTTCTATGTCCCATTCAGGATCCGGCTGGATAGCGAGCAACTTAATCGTGGCTAGAGGCCAGTTAAACTGCTTCTCGAAGTGTTCTACCCATCGTTCCAGTGGTCTTCCCTGCGAGTGAATCGCAGATCCGTCCTTCTCCGCTATAGCCTCACTAACTGTTGTTGACCTTTTCCTCCCAGTCTCCTTAATAAATCTAAGTAACTGTCTGTCATAACTGATTGCCGTTGCCTTTTCCATCTCTTTGGGCTTCGCTGCCCACCGCTGTTCGCGGTCGTTGTGTAGACTTTTTCTTAATCTATTTTTAAGTTGTACTCGCTCTTCGTGGTATTCAGAGCCTGCAGCCAGGGATGCGTTCACGTGCATCCATTAGTTTGGAAGAGACTGCTGATATCCACTGGCTGGATTTAGACCCGGCCGCGGGCATATCGACCAAATATTCACACTCCGCCAGGTTCTGGAACATAGGCACGCTTACCGACGCCCGACAATAGCTATATTTCTCGACATTCGACTCCATTGATCGAGAAGTCTGATGGCAATGTCTCTCACAGAGAGGCGTGCCTAGCAAGTACATCACCTTACTGAACGCTCTCTACTCGAACACTTGTGGGCATGTTAGAGCCTACGGTGAGATGTCCAGGGAGCTATGCTCATCGAATGGTGTCCGTCAAGGATGCCCACTCTCTTCATTCTTATTCAATTTCATCATAGATATTCTTATAGAGGTCTCCCTCCCGTCACCTGACTACAACACAGGTTGACCTAATCGTAGGAGAATTTTCGTTAGTCTTAGAATATCCAGATGATACTGTCCTGCTAGGTGAAGACGTTGACAAGATGCAGAGTCTTCTGAACACTTTGAGTGGCAATTTGACAATGTTTGGGATGCGGTTCTCACCACTCAAATGCAAATTGTTGCTCCACGATTGGTCTTCAACGGTGCCCCACCACGGCTAACAATAGAGAGTGAAGTGGTTGAGTGTGCCGACCACTTCACTTACCTGGGAAGTAGGATCAACCCCTTTGGGTCAGTTGCCGATGAAATCTGCATGGATACAAAAGGCTCGATTGGCTTTTGCCAATTTATGCCACCTATTGCGCCGCCGTTTCTGGCAACGAACCAACCAAGAACGTATCGCTCAACAAATATGCAGAAGGAAATGGAGATGGATTGGGCATGCACTGAGAAGACCATTCAGGGATATCACGCGCCAGGCCCTCGAGTGGAACCCAGATGGGAAACGACGAGTTGGGTGTCCGAGGGTGACATGGCGGAGATCGTGTGAGGAAGAAACGAGAGCTTGTGGGCTGTCGTGGAACCAGGTTCAAAAGTTTGCAGAGAACAGAGTGCACTGGAGACGTGCTACTGAAGCCCTATGTCCCATTAGGAACCCAAAGGACAAATAATAATAAATGGCACCACTGTGATTTCCGTTCGTCTATTAGGGGTCGCGTGTACTGCATAGCAGTCCGCTCTGTTCTACTGTATGGCTGTGAAACATGGCCATCGAAAGTGGAAGATATGAGAAGGCTTCAAGTGTTTGATCACCGTTGCCTTCGTAGTATAGGCCGTATTCCGTGGTATCACCACGTGAGTAATGCAGAAGTCAGGAGTAGAGTTTTAGGCAGTAGGGGTAAATCAGTTGTGACGAGGTTATGAACCTTCATCGGTTGAGATGGTTGGGACACGTACTACGTATGCCTAGTCACCGATTGCCTCGTCACACAATGTTGGCCGAAGTAGGCCCAGGCTAGAAAAAGGTCCGAGGTGGCCACACCAAAACATGGCACCAATGTATGAAGTCTTTGACTGTTGGTTTGAGCCATGTGGCACGATGCAGACTAAGTGGTTGGGGTCCGCAGGACAAGAGGAACCAGTGGCTGGAGACTCTAGGTGATCACATGGCTGAGAGCCGATGTCAGTGGCGCAGATGTATACATATACTATCCTCATCTTAAAACTATATCGATTCTCATCATTTCGTCATTCTTTTTTTCTTTCTTCTCTTACTTTATATTTCTTTTGACTGAATTTTCTTATCTTCATCCTTCACCTCACTACCTTTCTACTTGATGTACTGATATGGGCTGTGGCAACTCGGACCGTTACGCCGTAATGCCTTATGCTATGTTGGCATTGATGATGATGAGAATCTACGCCGTGAACACAATTGAAACAGATGCGGTGACCGTAAAACCTTTTTTCTTTTGACTGTCTTGGGTACCTGTGGTTTGGCAGACGATTATTTATGCTGGGTGATGACTGAATGTGAAACGAACCTTAATACCAGTCTACCAAATGACGGCTACGTATGATATGCAAGTGATAATCAATATGACGGTATCCCTCTGTGATTCACTTAGGTTTGGATTGGGATGAGAAGTCCTGAGTAGCCAGCTAGCTTGCATACTATTAATCGGTAGCAGGGCATCAGAAATTCACATGTTATTCGGGAAAAACCCTTGGTGATTGAAGTGAAATAAAAATCTGGTTAGCAGTTTTACCTCGTAGCTGAGTTGCAGCAGCAGCGGGCCGGTTATCCGGTGGTCACTTGCTCAAATCTGGCTGCGTTCGAAATTTTCATTTCACCTTCAATCATCACCCAGTATGAAAAAGTTTTTAAACTAAAATCTAAATTGTTACAGTTGGCCAAAGTGAACGTTTAAAAAAAACTATTTGTAGGTCGTTACATGTCATCAGGAGACCAAATTCAATCAAAATAAGATGATTCATGCATAATTTATAGGTAAAGTTTGTTTACTTTTAATGAATTGGGATGCACTTACCAATAATTTGATAGCATCCTAACATTAATGAACTGATTAGAGAGACTTTAGTTTTTGATGCACCAAAATGATCTGTCCATTCGACCATTAATAGACCAATAGAGAAGAAGATACCATCAATTATGAAGTAATTACAGAATGTTGCGAACAGAACCACCCATGACCAACCACCATCGGGAGCAACAGGTACAAAATATTCAGGATGTGTTTCAGGGCTGATTATTTCTATTTCATCATTTCGTAGCTGTTGACTTAGCTTGTCACCATCATCAGGTATCATTTCATAAGCACTTTGTACTATATTTGGTTGCCTCAAGTTTTGGGAGGCTGATTTGTCCCGTAACTCTGGAATATATTCATTCACTGTGGGTTTGTCTTCAGAGTTATGAAGCATAATTATTCCAAATGGTGTTTTGCAGAGTTATGGCCAAGAGGTAAGTGAACCTCAGGTTCAAGTTTATCTAAAGTGAATATACGATAAAAGTAGTAGTAAGCTATTACAAAGTGACTAGTAAATACATTATTGATGGAAAAATCTTTTTAATTTTGAATCCCTCTGCAGCAGAACAATGACTTTTCATTGTGAGTTTGGCGCAATTCGTTTACCAGACAGTGTTTGTAAATAATTTTCATCGAGTCTGTGATTTAACATTGTTGAGATAAGATTAATTTCCAACAGAATATAGATTGGAATGATGAGTAACTTGTAGTCTATTCGTTGACTAGCAGAGGAAACCAGCATGCTCGTTTCGTCCTACTTGGGACTTGTCAGCTGGATGTACCAGCACACAATGAGTGATGTTGTCCCCAGTGAGACTCGAACCCACTACCCATCGCTTCAAACGCCAAAGCATGAGCAAATTATTCATTCAAATGTATAAGGGAATTAAAGATGATTAAAGAGTAGGGAATAAGGAACTAACTCAAACTTAAGTTTTCATCTGTCAGTCCCAACAGCTTTTATCCAGAAACGGTCATGTTGCACTGTTCAATATATTTACGGAAACGGTCTGAGTGGAAACAATTGCTTTATCAAAAATCAAAGACCGATTATATGACTATCTTCCTCGTAAATTCAGTATATCATCATTTAAAACACAATTAGAATATAAACTGACAGTTTGAGGTTAAGCGTTAAGGTTTAGCCACACCAACACGAATGCAAATTTTTAGATCTGACTTAATTTCCAGTGTTTAGCCCAATAATACACTCGCCTCATGCCTATTGGTTGGAATTTCGACCAATAATATTTTGTATTCTGGAATCGATAAATCCTTATCGGTCCAATTGTATGGACAAAGAAATATGAGATTATCATTGGTTAAGGTCACAACAGTTGTGCATAAGCTCTAACTTTAAACAACAAAAGGTCTAAATTTGAGCTTTTGTCGAACTACACAGGAAGTGTATAAACGATAAAAAAAATACGAAAAATTATGCATTGTTTTGTAATCGCAGTTTACCATTGAAACATGCAACCTCGTCTAGTTTACTGGTACACTGGTTACTAGACGGTCTTAGGCCCCAATAAAGAGGGAAGCTTCGGCATAGGGCTAGCAACCCTACCCCAAAAAAAACAATCTAACCGCTAAAGAAACTTCAAACCATAAAGGAAATAGAAAAAACAAACCTATTCCTCGCTGGAATTGGAGAGACGAAATGACGCCAGTTGGTGAATGCCTTCGGGAAGCCATTTGGCCGATGTCTCTTCTCTCGATGAAAGCGAAAGTAAGAATGGGGATGTGGAATGTCTGAACTATGTTTGAAGCTGGCTAGCAAGGCTGCCCGGATTGCCAAAGAGATGAGAAGGTGTAGCATTGAAGTACTAGGCAGGGAATCTGCGAAAGCAGATGGAAAAGAATGGAAGTGGACTCTCCAAACTGTCAACTGGAGAGAAGTCAATAATCTACTCCGATATTGTCACACTGCCTACACGACAACCACGAATACTATAGACAACTGCAATCAACACTGGACAAGACCTCAGATGACGACGGCGACAGTGACATCAAAATTCTAATGGGTGTGGTGACGTGAATGCCAAACTGGAGGGGAGAAACATAGGAAGAGAACGGATCATGGGTGGAGAAGCAAGCACTCAGTGAAATGATGAATGAGAATGGATAACTGTTTGCCGATTTCTGCACATTCAACGATTTGGTGATTGGAGGCAGTGTCTACAAACACAAGGATACTCACAAAGTGACATGGACTTGACAAGATGGACACTACACTGAAAATCAGATCGACTTCATCTGAATGTGAAGAAGGTGGATATGGAGACGCAGCCCACTGGACAGAAGATCAGATCAAGCAGGGGAGCAGATGTAGGTCCAGACCACTCATTATCTAGTGCAGGCAGCCTGTCTTCAAAATCAAGTTGAAAGCCTTCAATTGCAAGTAGCTGGTGATAGACCACAATTCAAGTTGAACACCCAGAAAGAAGAGGAAATGAACTGAAGGACGAAACTACAAGGGACATCTTGACGTTCACGTCAGTCAGCCATGAGAACGAAATGGGAGACATTGAGCAGTGTCCCTGAAGAGACCTGTGTGGAAGAGCGTTGGAACTGTGTGCAAGTGACATGGAATGAAACCCGCCTTTGCCGTGTTCGGAAGGAAGAAGTGGTGGTTGGACAAATAATGGATCTCCATGGACACGTGGAAGCTGATAGAGGAGGGTGAGGAAGATGGTGAAACAGAAGATAAACCAATGCAAGTATGAACAACGAAAAGTGGGACTGAACACAACATACAAAACACTACACTGAACAAAGAAGTGAAGAAGAGTGTGCGGAAAGAGAAAAGATAGTACTACGACATATTCGCAAGTGAAGCAGGACAGGCTGCTGGTAGGAGAGACAGGTAACTGTCTATCTGTGAGGGAAGACATCAACCCAGATGAAACCAGTAAAGGATATTGAAGGAAAGCTAGTTACCAAAGGGAAGAAATAAAGGAAACGATGGGCTGATCACTTCAGAAAAGCTCTTGACTCGACCACCACCTCCAACCTGTCTAGAGATACCGCGAGCAGCCCAGCCAAAGAACTGCCAGTGAACATAGGCCCTCCGACAAAAGCAGATGTGAAGTCCTAAACGCCATAAAACTGCTGAGAGCCAATAAAGCAGCAGGACCGCATGGAATCCCGCCAGACGCACTTAAAACAGACGCAGAGATATCAGCAGCGGACATGTTCACCCCAATTCTACTGTAGAAGGTTAGGAAGGAAGGGAGGAAAGGTACCTGCTGACTGATTGGAAGAAGGGCTACCTTGTCGAATTCCCAAAGGAGGGCGACCTACGTCTTTCGAAGAACTGGCGCGGAATCATGCTCCTGTCGCTGTCCACCCCAAGCAAAATATTAAGCCGCATCATACTGGCGTGACTGAAAGATACTCTGAATTCAAAATTACTACCGGAACAGGCTGGTTTTAGAAAAAAAATCATGCGCGGACCAGATTACAACGCTACGCATCATCATAGAACAGAGCATCGAGTGGCAGTCAACTCTCTACCTCAGCTTCATGGATTTAGAAAAGGCCTCAGACAGCGTCGATCCACAAGTAATTTGCCAGGTGGCTGCTTCAATACTATGGCTTCAGTGCCACAAACCTATATCAACCTCATTCAACACCTACATGCTGTGCTGTATGATCCTGCATGCGAAGTGGTTCACAATGGAAAGCTCAGCTCAGTGATGCCTTTGAAGTGAAGACAGGAGTAAGACAAGGCTGCCGCCTGCTATCACTGATCATCTTCCTGATTGTGATGGACTGGATCATGCAGCAAACCGTGAGGAGTGAGAAGATGGCCATACGCTGACTGAACCGATGCAAAGACTATACAAGATTTGGATTTCTCCAATGATGATGATTTATGTCAAAATTCTCGTAGCACAAACTCGAAGATCTACAGGTGAAAACCAACAAGTTGATAGAAGAGGCAGCAAAAGATGACTGGACTTCCTTCAAGTGAACGTAGACAAGACAGAGGTGATGAAGATACACAATCAACCAACAACATCAACAACAAACACCAATCAACATCAACAGGAGAAACCCAAACGAAGTTGTCTCTTTCACCTACCTACCTACCTACCACCCCACACCTACCTACCTACCTACCTACCCACCTACCTAGGCAAGGCAGCATCGTTTCAAGTACAGGTGGCGGCGGTGGCACAGATGAAGACGTCAAAGCCAGAATCGGAAAGACAGCAACACAAGCCTGTCTTCATTAACCTGAAATCGGTGGGGAGATCTACTCCACTCCACTCCACTCGACTGGACTCAGCATAAAGCGTGCATGAACAAGATCAACACTTTCAACACCAATACCAGTCAAGTCAGTGCTTCTATGTGATGGTTGAGAGACTTGGTGGCGAGTTACCAAAGCATTTCCAACAAACTGTAGATATTCATCAACAGTTGCTGCCCACGCTCACTCGATAATGATGATCAGGTAGATGGCCAGAATAATAAGCAGAATAAGCATCAAGGAACTCTGGCTGGCTGGCTGGCTGGCTGACTGGCTGGCTGGCTGGCTGGCTGGCTGGCTGGCTGGCTGGCTGGCTGGCTGGCTGGCTGGCTGGCTGGCTGGCTGGCTGGCTGGCTGGCTGGCTGGCTGGCTGGCTGGCTGGCTGGCTGGCTGGCTGGCTGGCTGGCTGGCTGGCTGGCTGGCTGGCTGGCTGGCTGGCTGGCTGGCTGGCTGGCTGGCTGGCTGGCTGGCTGGCTGGCTGGCTGGCTGGCTGGCTGGCTGGCTGGCTGGCTGGCTGGCTGGCTGGCTGGCTGGCTGGAAATGAAACAACCAAGAAATATGCAGAGGGAAGTGGAGATGGATTGGACATGCACTGAGAAGACAGTTTGAGGATATCGTGTGCTTGGCTTGGCTAGGCTAGGCTAGTCTAGGCTAGGCTAGACCGTCGAGTGGAGGCCGAATGTGAGAGGACGAGTTGGTTGTTTGAGGGTGACATGAAGTGGATTGTGTGATGAAGGAATGGAAGCTTGTGGGTTGGTGTAGGTAGGTTGAGAAGACTGCAGAGAAGTGAGTGGAATGTCGACGTGTTGTTGAAGCCTTATGTTCCACTAGAAATTAAAGGACAAATAGTAATAATGATTAAAATATGCTACAAGTCAGCGGTTTGGCGTACCTACCTTCAAATTAACAACTGAATAGATGTCTTAACTGTATAATGGCTTCATTTCTCCAAGAATGTTTATATCCATTACTTTGACAGTCGCTTGTCGATTATGCACTTGTACAGTCTCTTAGTGAATCATGAATCAGGCTTCGAAGATACCATAACTGGAACTATTTGTTTGTTGTATGGTTCACTACGGTAGAGTATCAAAACAGTGAAATACATAGTGATATATTTATTGCAGATTATGTAG